GGTGCCTGTCAGGCCGCGGCGGGACGCGCCCCCGGCGCTGCAGCTCGCAGCGATCCCGCCGCTCGGCAGGCAGCCCCAGCAGCGCTAGCTTTACATCTGATGCCGCTGTGGCTCCAGCTAACTCATTACTGATAAAACTGGGTTCTCGGCTTTAAATTACTTAGAAAGTTCTTCCCGACTTGGAAAGTCTGATCGCTGAGGTGTGAGGGTCAAGGAGTTCCTCGCAGCGTGTTGTGCTCTTTTCTGTAGATGAGTAGGACTACAGGACTACACAGGATAAAGAATTCAACTAATAAAGATAATTTCTTGATAGGGCTTTTCTTTGAAGCCCCCTCGATGTGATAAAGGTAAAAAAACCAAGCCTCGTGCTGCAAACAACAGCTGGCTGCATTTACCCTTACTCTGCCAATGATTTATTTAATCAGTGGCAAAATCTCACCATGCTGAGAGAGGCAGGGCCCAGCTCCTTGGCGCAGAGCAGCACCCTGTCAGGCTGTTTTTAAAACCCACGTAACAAGATCGCTTGGAAGGGAGGCTTTAAAACCCAGCTGGCAGCTGAGTAATGTTAATTGCTGTCAAGTCTGCCACACAGTTACTGAGGTTTGTAACTTAAACTCAGGGGAGGGGTTAGATTGCAAACCGATGGCTAGCAAGGTGAGGCGAATTACTACGGTTTCCCCGTATCACATTGTTCTGGGCAGGCTCACAGAGCCTCTCCAGTTAAATGTTTCAGAGTCACTGTGATTTTGAGTGAAGTATTTACAGTTGCCATTAATAGATTAACAGGCTAATAATATTCATTGTCTCCAAGAACCCATTTCTTTGTGGTTCTTGTCCAAGTGTTCATTTCAACTCTTTTATTTGCCAGAAGACTTGAGTCTTTGCTTGTTTACGAGAAGATCAGATCATGTTTGACTTGTACCTCACCACCAAGTAAGAAAGAAAAAACACTCATTTTAAGTAAGGGACAAGGTTCCTTAATTAATTAAACCTCATTGTTCACTTTTGATAGTCAGGGGAATTGTGAGCAGTAGGAGATTGATATTGAAAAAAAGAGAAAAAGGCAATAAAAGGCATTCTATATCTTTGAGATAGTCAAATTTTATCACACCGATGGTCAGGGCTTGGCAAAACGCCAGCTGCTGGAGGGCTACTTCTAATTTGAATGTGCATCACTATAAATAAAAAATGAATGTGCTATGATTCCAACCACTTATGTCTTCCAGACTGAGTAATAACTGCCTGCTGGTTAGGCTCATTAACAGTAAGAACAGTACCTGATCGGCTTTGTTTTCATCTCATTGAGCTGCCGTTGGGGCCACACTTTATATCCCCAGAGGCTGCATTTTGGGAACTCCTACTGTGTAGAAAATGTATGGAAACTGAAATCTATGTATATAATCAGGCTGGATGGTAAGAGGGCTCAGGAAGGATATTTGTGCCTTTCAGTGATTAAAAAAAAAGATATGGCAGCATTTCTAAGAGAGGGGACTCAGAGGGATTCCTTGAGGAAATTAGACATTGTTAAGAAATGGCTCCGAGTAAATAGACCGAAACCAAGACAGAGACAGCGAGTCTGAAATGGAAAATTGTGAACCAGGGGCAAGATATACCACCAACCTCACTGCACTCAGCTGAGAGAGTTTCTACAATAGTATGGAGACAAGCTTCTTACCTGGGAACAGGAGCCCAAGGGACGGATTCTCTGCCAGAGAGTTTTTGCTCATTAGTGTACATGGTGACATTTTGATTCAAGAGATTAATCTTAAATCACGTGCAGTAGTGTCCCTGTGACATCTGCGGATGGAAATACCGTGCCATCCTATAACCCTTCTGTCAGCCTGCTTTACTGCTCAAAAGAATTGCTCCTTTTATTTAGTTTCCCCCCCCCCCCTACATATTCCTCACAGGTCTTCACAACTATTTCTTATTTTACTGACAAAATGCTATTGTCAGCATTGTGCTGTAATTGCAGAGTACATTGTGATCTTAGGCACGGGCCTTGCAAGCTGCTCTGCCTGGGTGGGCTCCAAAACCCACACAGGGCCAACTTGACTTTGGTGGGGGTAGTCTTGTCTGATGAGCTCAGTTTTCTTTTCTGTTTTTCTATTTTTGTAGCTCTCGTGGTTGAAATAGGGAAATTAAGGGTAGTCTCATGGATCATAAAGCAAAGGATGAACAAGAAAAACATTCGGGGTTGATTCTATTTATTTTGTTATCTTAAAAACATTTGGTCAATGGGATGATTTTTCAGGGGGCTCAATCTGAGTGCAAAGGAGTGGAAAACAGTGTCTTCTGCCCTGACACATATCAGCGGCTTCACTAAATGCGTTCTGCCACACTTTATTGTTGTGTGAGGCAGAAAAAAGTCTTGAATTTCATGTCTGACCATCCCTGTATATTTCTCACATAAGTCAGATTCTTGGGGAAAGCTGGCCTGTGTCCTGATAGAAGGACACTGTGTTCAGCACCCAGTCCTGGTAGGAGAAAGTGCTGCACATTTCTATCGGTGTGTTTGAGAATAAGATCACTTGCTGACTATAAATAAAAGTGAGAGGATATTGCTGTTGGGGTTTTCTTCTGAAGGGAGCAAATTTTAAGGCAGTCTTCCAGGGTTACTCCTTCTTGCTTTTCTGAAACCAAAACTGAAGCACATTTTCTCCACAGATAATCCAGTCACTGGATTGGGAAAATGCTTCACCCTCTCTTGGGGTGCTCTGCTTCACTCCTACTGCAAACACTGAAGACAGGAGTTTGCATTTTCCATACAGCCTTTCTACAACCAGCCCTGCAAATTCAGCCATGTCTTAGAGACAATGGGCTGAGGGAAACAGTGACAACCAGGCTTAAGGAGTCTGCATTTCTGTGTTACTGAACATGCTCTTATATGCTGGGGTCAGCCTGAGTTTCTTTTCCTTTTCCATCTCCTTCTCCTCCCTCTCCCTTTCCCTCTCCCTCTCCCTCTCCTCTCCCTCTCCTCTCCTCCTGCTATACAATTTCATCTTCTCTAAGCATTTGTCCAATTCCACAGAGATTTTGCACAGAATAGCATTTCTACTGCCTGCTAATGATGTAGGGGGATTTTCCCAATATTTCTCTTCCCTTTTTTTGAAAAAGAGACCAAACAACAGCATTTACTCACATCTCTGGATTTCTTCCTTTGCCCATGTTTTTCCTCCTAATTCTGTATTCCTGTGCACTGTCTCCCGCTTTTTCCCATCTCATTCTTAGGAGTTTTCTTCTTCTTCACCCTCTTTCTTTCTTGGATTCTGGACTAACTCCTGCAGCATAAACTTCCTCAGATGTTTGACTCCACTATTGGGATTTCATAAGGTCTGTATTAAAAGAAAATCTGTATCTGATCTTTACAGAGTTACAGCCTCATTCTTTAAAGTCCTGATCCACTCCTTGCAAAGACAAACAGACTTCAGAGGGTAAGATCAAGAACATTTTTGAGTGTGATTGGTAATGAACATTGAATATACTCAGGACTCACCAGATAATCTGGTCCAACCCCCCTACTCAGGCAGGGCCACCTGCATCTACACTATGTCCAGATGCCTTTAGAATATTTCCAGGGATGGAGACTCCATTACCTCCCATACCAACCTGTGCCACTGCAAATCAGCTTGGGTGGAAAATTATTTTGGAACCTCAAGTTCAAAATACCTAAGGGATACATTTTTATTACATTTTTTAAAATTTCCCAAATCTATTTCTTCCATTTGTTTCAAAATTAATGACAGTGATTTTTCCTATTTTGGGGCACGTACACAGATTCCAGTTTCTCAGCTTTTTCATTATTCTCAGTTCTACTCACAGGTCATCAAACAGAAAAGTCCTTGCAGTATCAGGACCTAACAAAGTACATTGTGCATGATCCTCATACAGATATTGTTGTTCTGTAGATGTATTATCATCATGCAGAAGAAGAACATCACATTTACATGTGTCAAAAATGCCAGAGACTGCATGTTGTACTATGTTGACCTTTGGCTAGAAACAGCAGAGAATTCATTTGTTTTGGTAAATGCTCAGTGTTATTTCTTGAGGTTTGACCTCAAAATCATTCATATATGAGTAGAAAATGGTGGAAAGTAGCACTCAGCTATCCTGAATGTGAAGGCAAAGCAGAGAAATTTGACCCCTAGTGCTGACTGTTTATGTTGCAATACAGGACCATTCAGAGTGTTCAGCACACTGGAGCATTAAGTCCCAGGTGCAATAAAATTAAACTGAAGCTAGAAAGTAAAAGTGATAATAAAATCAGAATTGTCTAATTCTGTCAATAGTTCAAGAGGAAGATATAGGGCTAGAACCTGCTGAATACATCACATTGTTACCTATTTAAATATGTGAAAAGAAAGATAAACATTAAAAATATAGAACAGAATATTTTTTTTCTCCAATTGCAAATTTGCCTATCATAAGGGGCTTACAAGACATTGAATATTCAGTCAGCTCAGAATACCTTTGACAAAAGTCTCTGCCTTGAGGACATTGTTGTTTACAAATTCAGACCCTCCATTTTCATATGTAAATCTACAGTGTTCCCTGTTTCACCACCTCGAGAATATTCTTGAAGTAATTTTTGATCTTTGTCCTTCCTGTCTTCAGTTAATGACATTAATATGCTCTCCTTGTGTTAGAAACCTTTTTTTTATAAAACACAAAAGTTTAAGTCTGCTATGTAGGCAAAAAGATGCCACTTTCTGTAGAAAAAAAATCCTTTTGCTGCCTAGAGTTTTCATTTTCACTACATTCATTGTGAATGCAGTATATTTTAATGCATACTTATGAGGACTAAAATAAAACTGAGGACCTTATTCTTCTTCCAGTGAATCCAGTGGCAAATCACCTCCAAATGCCAGAACAACTAGAACGGATTTTACAGTTTGGGTGGGGAAAAAACAAACAAGTTCCTGACAAATCTCAAAGCCTGGAAAACAAGTCTGAAGATAATCTGGCAAACAAGATGCTTTACAATTTTCCTGAAGGAATGTTTGCAACTAACGATTCACCAGTTCATCACAGTCTCTCTAATGCTCGTGAAAACTCATTTCCCACCCCAGCCTGGGGAGTTGCATCAGGCTCTTTTGGGAAGAGGGTTTTCTTTGGGTATTAATTGTGAGTGTGCAGCTCAGCACTCCTGGTGGGCAGCAATTCTGAAGAGGAAACACAGCATTTTCTGTGATATGTAAAAAGCAGCACAGCTCACCTTTTCTCCTCTCTGCAGCGGAGTGCAGCTGTCCCGATACCAAGATCACAGCAAAGCTTTATCTGGAAAAGGTCCCTCTGTTTGGCTCCTTTTTAACTCTCCCCTTTTTATCGGCTGGTGTTTCCAAGAACAGAGTTGAAAGGCTGAGACAGATTTTCATTTTTAATAACTGAGCTTCAGGTTCCCTGAGAAAAAAATGTTCTCCACTGGAGACAAGAAGGTCCTGTGTCACCCAAATTCTTTACTTATTAAAGAGATAGATGAGATCCTCTTACAAAACTACAGTAAAGTATCTCCTTAAATCTGGAGAGGTGTTTGCTATTTCTTTTTTGCAATCTTTTTTCATTTTTGTGGCTACCTCATCAAAGTCTAGCAGGTCATCCCCTGCTGGGACTGACAGGGCAGGAAGAGCTGCAGAGGGCAGGGAAATGGTGAGGTGACACCTGCATCCCAGCTCTGCAAAACACACAATACTGCAGTGGGATCCACTCACATGGTTTGTGCTTCAGGTTCTACAGGTGTGCAGTATATAGATGGACAATTGTCTGCTGGAAAACATGCTGAGTTCCTTCAAAAGGTGCCAGCAGGTGGCAAGTAGTACTTTTGTCCATTCTGTTAAAGGGAGGTTGCCTTCCTTCAAACTCCCATCCTCCCTCCCTGACTGGTGCTGAAGGTGTGCAGAGGCAGAGCAGATTGACACATATGGAAAACTCAGAATATGAAACTCTCTGGACCAATTTTCATTACTTGCTTCCAATTATTTGAATGATCTATTTTTGAGAGAAGAGAAGAGAAGAGAAGAGAAGAGAAGAGAAGAGAAGAGAAGAGAAGAGAAGAGAAGAGAAGAGAAGAGAAGAGAAGAG